GGGGGGGGGGCGGGAATTTCAGCAAAGCCGGTTCAGTTATTTCTAAGAGACACATTGAAGAAAAAAAAGCCTTTCAGAAGGAAAAAGACACTTAATAGGCAAAAGGATGAAAATCTATTGAAGTTATAGTCAATAAATCCTCATGCCATTTATACACAGAGTTTTTTAAAGGCTTGTAGTTACTACCTGAGTGTTTCACCTCATATGGCGTATTCCAGTCCCTTCAGCTTGCATTTACCCACTTAAGTTTCCTTGAGATGCTCTCAGTTAGAACTGGGAGGTAGTTTTGCCTCACAGCTGAGAAATCAGGTCTATCAACCTTGTCACATTCACTATGAGCAAGTGAGTTAAGTCCCCAGAAGCAAGGGTTCAGTCAAAAACTGCTCACATGGCAGCAAAGCTGAGACATGACTTGATGAGCCATAATCTGCTGCCTCTGAGACACGGTGAGAGCAAGAGACTATAGAGTCTCTGTGTTTCTGGGTGAAAATCCTGGCCCTTTTGCCGCAGTAGGATGCTGCATGCTCACCTCTGAGACAGAAGCTCTTGTCCCCTTGCTCTGCTGGGCCGTTTTACTGACACCCAGCTTTAGTTTTGTCATGTGCCAGAGTCCTTTCCATGAGGATGGCCAGCCTGCTTTATGCAGCTGTGGTTCTGCTCTGACCATGTAAATATAGCAAGAGCACCACTCTAGCTGTGCCACTTTTAACATTAGGAAAGGAGGAAATTAGGAGAGGTTGATAATCTACAGCTTCCTCCAGTAGAGACAGTACAATTCCATGATTGGTATTTTTCCTTTTTTTCTCCTTGAGCTTGCTCTCTTAAAAATACATGAAATTGCACTAAAGATACACATTATACTAATAAGGCTACAAAGCTTTACACTTGAAAGTGACAATGCTGGTTTTACCTACACATTTAATTTGTTGCAGTTTTATATATGGCAGTAAATGTAAAGAGTAGCTGCTTCAGACAAAACAAAGAGCGAAACCAAATGCAATTTTTTGGGTGGCTGCCATTTCCATTTAGATTCAATCACTAAATTGTCTTGACTCAACAGGAATAAATGCTGCCATGCTTATACGTGGAGTCTTGCATCAAGTTGATAGCTCTATCTTCTACCAGAGTCATGTGCAATAAGTGCTTTGGAGATTTTAGATAAAACAGGATCTTCCA